AAGAAGACATTTTTCTGTTTTCTGATATCATCCTGCCTTTCCCCCCCCCAGACTCAGAAGAATATTTTTTCTCCAGTACGTTCTTTTTATGGTAGTCCATTTTCTTCTGTTGTTTTATGATCTATCAAGGGTGCATTTTGTGATGTGAAGTAAAAATATAAATTACTTTCACTTTTTCTGTGCCGATACGCTGCTGTCCAGAAAACATTGCTCAGTTCATCCCATTCTCTCTGGCTTGTCAAAAGTTAAGAGCTTATTCCTTCACTGTACTGGAAACATTATTCTGTATCATTGATAACTTTGACTATTTTCAAAAGTATTCAATATACTCCCTTTTTAAAGTAGATAAAACTTTTAGTTGTGGACTCTTTTTGGAAGTTTTAAGTCTAATTCAGTGAGTTCGTTATTTAAATCTATTTTTTGCAACTTGTTTATTCTTCCAGAAAAATTCAATATATTTCAGGTTTTAAAAATTAAAGGGAGAATCTGCATACAATAAATAAAATATTATTAAAATTGTGTTAATTTAATTATTTTTACATAGTTACCTTTTGGTCTCTGGCTATTCTGAAAAGACTTTTTTTTGTTTCAGAAGTACAAAAACAGATTATCTTTGGTGGGAGAAGTTAGGAGTAATTATTTTATTACTTCATATTTATAGTTTTTAATTTTTGCTATAGGAACATGGATTGCCAGGCCCAATTAAAAACATATAAGGAGAGATTTTCAAAGTGAGTTTGTACCTGAATGCAAGTGCTATGGAAACTGCCACTACATCTCAGCCAAAATGGGAAAGGAAAGGACTCATTAGCATTGACATCACGTAGATTTGGACAAGGCTACCAGGACTGGCGATCTGATCTACAAGTGCAGTGGGATTGACAGAACAATCAGAAAAGTCGCTAAGGAATCTGGTGAGATGGGAAAGGGCTCCTTCCAGTAAGCCTGGGTCTTGGACAGACTGAAAGCCGAATGTGAGCACGGTATCACCACTGACAGCTCCCTGTGGAAATTCAAGACCAGCAAGTATTATGGGGCCATCACTGATGCCCCAGGACGCAGAGACTTTAGCAACAACATAATTAGGGGCACATCTCAGGCTGACTGCGCCATCCTGATTGTTGCTGCTGGTGTTGGTGAGTTTGCAGCAGGCATCCCCAAGAATGGTAGACCAGTAAGCACGCCCTTGTGGTGCTCACACTGGGCATAAACAACTAGCCGTTGTATTCCACTGGGTTGCCCTATGGCCAGAAGAGATATAAAGAAATGATTAAGGAAGTCAGCACCCACACTGAGAAAATTGGCTGCAACCCCAACACAGTAGCCTTTGTGCCAAATTCTGGTCGGAATGGTGACAACATGCTGGAGCCAAGTGCTAACGTGACTTGGTTTAAGGGATGAAAATTCAGCCTAAGGATGACAATGCCAGTGAAAACCTGCTGCTTGAAGCTCAGGATTGCATCCTGCCACCAACTCATCCAACTGACAAGTCCCTGTGTCTGTCCCTCCAAGATGTCTACAAAGTATTGGTACTGTCCCTGTGAGCTTCATGGAGACAGGTGTTCTCACACCTGGCATGGTTAGTAAAAATCTGCTGAAATGCACCATGAAGCTTAGAGCAAAGCACTTCCTGGGGACAGTGTGGGCTTCACTACCAAGAATGTGTCTGTCAAAGATGTTCATCTTGGCAATGTAGTTGGTAATCACAAAAATGACCCACCAGTGAAAGAAGCTGGCTTCACAGCTCAGGTGATTATCCTGAACCCTCCAGCCCAAAACAATGCTGGGTGTGCACCTGCACTGACTTGCTCACAGCTCACATTGCTTGCCAGTTTGCTGAACTGAAGGAGACTGATCATTGTCTGCAAAGAAGCTGGAGCATAGCCCATAGTTTTTTAAAATCTGGTGGTTCTGCTATCACTGCTATGGTTTCTGGAGAGCGTGTGTGGGGGGACAGCTTTGCTGACTGTCTTTGCCTGGGCCATTTTGCTGTTCTTGACATGAGGCAAACAGTTGTTGGTGTTGTCAGAGCACTGGAGAAGGAGGCAGCTGGAGTTGGCAAAGTCACTAGATCTGCCCAGAAATCTCAGAAGGCTAAGTGAGCATTATCCCCAATACCTGCCACCCCAGTTTTAATTCGATCTCAGAAATATTTGTCTCAATTGGCCTTTTAAGTTAAAGAGCAGAAGGCTGATTAATTATAACAATGCACTGTGAAATCTTCAGAAGGGAAGGAGAATGTTTGTGGACCACAGCGGACTTTCTGTGTGGCAGTTTTTAAGTTATTAGTTTTTGGAATCAGTACTTTTTAATAGAAACAACTTGACCAAAAACCTTTCACAGAATTTGGAGACCCATTAAAGCAAAGTTGAGTGAGAAAAAAATGTAAAGGGAAAAAAAAAACAATCTTTGTATTGTTAGCACTTAAATCTGGACATCTGCTTTAAGGTATTGCACAAGAGAGGAAATTCTTTTTAAGTCTATTTGTAATCATTAACTAAAAGTATACAACTCTGGGTTTTGTGAACATTGAACTTTTGTAGATTTTTCAAAGTTTTGTTTACTAAGCACACGTGATACAGTAGATTTTCTCCCTGAGTCATTGTGATCAAGCACTGAATCATGAATCACGTCTCAACAATCAGCTGTTTACAGCAGGCACACATGGAACCATTAAGAAGTGATTTGTGGAGACCACTAACAAGAAAAGAAGAAAACATTTTACATAAGACCAGCAGAGCTAAGGCCAGAATTCAGGTGTCCTGGATCCTGTACATCTTGCAGTCTCTCTTAGTGCAGTCTATAAATATTGATAATATTTAAAAGCAAGGAAATCACAGTACACTTCATCCAACAGAACAGGATCATCCCAAAAAACTTGCATGTATTTGACACATTCAGATCACATTGTCAGGGCACTAGGATAGCTTGTGATTTAAAAAAAATTCTGTGTGTGGTACATCCTTCTTTTCCTTCTTTTCTTAAATCCTCACCCAAGGACATGTTTACTGATTTCAGAGATAAGTGAAGGGAGAGGGGGAGGAAGAGAAACATATGACCAGGGACCAAACCCCCCAACCCGGCATGTGCCCTGACTGGGACTCGAACCTGCAACATTTCGGTTTATGAGATGACTCTCCGACTGAACAAGCCACATTAGCCAGGGTCCTATTGCGTATTCTTGGTAAAGGCAATCATCATAGTATTTTGTCTTTTGTGTAAATATTATATACATTAAATTAGAAAATCTTCAAGATTTTCTAATCAGATCTTCTAATCATATCTTCCCCCAAGAGCATAAATACTCTTTCTTCAGTGTTCGGTTTTCTTAACCTTCCTGAACTTCAGTTTCCAACTGGTAGAGCTGGAATAAAAATACCTACCTCATAGAATTATTGTAAAGATTAAAATAGAAAATAAAAAATACCTACCTCATAAAATTACTGTAAAGATTAAACAAGATGAAAATTTTAGAGTGTCTGATGTAGAAATATATTCATTATTTAAGAAACCTATGTGAGGTTTCAACTGACATAAAATAGATGTTCACTAAATGTGAGTCCCTTGAAAGGCCCATCAGTCATTGATACAAATGTTGAAGATGTTGGAGCTCCTGCTGACCCTTGAGGAATGTGGATAGACATCCTTCCAGGGTCACATCATTCTTTTAAGTTCTTTAGATATATATAGGGCCTGGAACAAATAATGCCCCTTTTTCATTACAAACTTTTATTACAAATTGTAAGTATGTAATTTTCTAACATAATAATAGCATACTGAAGCACATCATATGACATTTTAGGTGAAATGTTCAAATTAAAGCCATAAATTATCACACCCATGTTATTACCCTACCAACCACACTCAAGCAGGCCTTACTTACTTCTGCCAGATCCTGTATAATTATTCAAACAACTAAAGACCTCGCTGAGTTCAGGATACGCTATACCAGCTGCCAATATAATAATCACATCAAAAGAGGAAATTAAATTAGGTTGCCTAGTTTTTTCTTAAAGTATTCATTCTGGTTCTTAATGATCATTTTTCTTCCAAAACTCCGAAAATGTTTGTTCTTCAGCAAAACTGTCTAGAACTTTCCAGTGGTTAATGTTAGGCTTTATCTGACTTTCAGCACCTTCCTACTAAAAAAACCAAGGCATTTGCCCCATCCAGTCCTTTTTTAAAGATTTTATATTTATTTATTTTTAAAGAGAGGGGAAAGGAGGGAGAACGAGGGGGAGAGAAACATCAATGTGTGGTTGCTTCTCATGTGGCCTCCATTGGGGATCTATCCTGCAACCCAGACATGTGCCCTTACTGGGAATCGAACCAATGACCCTTTGGTTCACAGCCTGCACTCAATCCACTGAGCTACACAAGCCAGGGTGACAATCTAGTCTTTTGATACTTTTCTTATTCTCAGTGATTTAAAGAGATTTCAGATAATGGTCCTGCAATTATCTCCCTAAGTTCTCCCAGAGCCTATGCTGGCTTGCACAAACTTCTTTGACATTTACTCTACCCTTGCCAATGTATAATGGGAACAGGGAAATCTCCAAAGACCCTGCTCTCCCTTGCTCGAGGAGTTATCAATATTGATAGTTCATTTGAATTAATGCATATTATTTGAATACATACAAGTATACTTGTATACTTGAATACAAGTATACATATTATTTAGATACATACAAGTATACAAATTTTATGTCAAAATGGAATCATACATACTATGCTGCTGGTTGCTTTCTAATTTTTTGCTTCTTAAAAAAACAGACTATATTTTAAAGCAGTTGTAGGTTCACAGGAAAATTAAACGTAGAGATTTCTCATCTAGCCCTGCACCCACATATGCTGAGCCTCTCCTATTATCAACTTAGCTAACACTCCCCGACAGAGTGGTACGTTTGTTACTGTTGTACCTACGCTGGCACTTCATTGTCACCCATGGCCATACTTTATATTTGGACTCATTCTTGGAGTTGTACATTCTTTGGATTTGGGCAAACTTATAATGACATGAACCCATTGGTGTCCTGTGGAACTGTTTAACTGCCCTGAAAAATCCTCCCTCCCCTCCAACACTGGGCAACCACTGACCCTTTTATTGTCTCCATAGCTTTCTTGCAGAATGTCATATAGTTTGAATCACACAGTACGCAGCCTGTTCTGATGGCTTCTTTCACTTAACAATGTGCAATTAAGTTATCTGAGGGAGGAAGGTTGTCCTGTCTTCACAAACGATTGACCCTGCATCGCTATGTAATGTCCTTTTTATCCCTGATCATTTTCCTTGGTCTGAGGTCTGTTTTGCCTGAAATTGCACAGCTATTTTCCCCTTCTTTTCATAAGCTTTAGCCCCTTTATAATGTTCCTTCTCTTAAAAAAAACTTTTTAAAAACAATTCTTGCATGACAGGTGCATTGACAACAGATTTTCTCAGTATTTTTTGTCTGAGAAAGTTTTTATTTATCCTTCACTTTTGAAGGATAGTTTTGCAGGGCATAGAATTCTAGGGGTTTCTTTCTCTCAATATTTTAAATACTTTATTCCACTCTCTTCTTGCTTGTACTGTCTCTAAGGAGAAATCAGATGTAATTCTTACCTTTGCTTCTCTATAGGTAAGATGGTTTTTCCTCTGGCATCTCTCAGTTTTTTCTTTATCTTTGATTTTCTGAAATGTAAACATAATATGACTAGGTGTGATTTTCGTTTGTTTGTCTGTTTTGCATTTATCCTGTTTGGTGTGCTTTGAAGTTTCTAGATTTGTGCTTTGGTTTCTACCATTAATTTGGGGCAAGTTTTTAGTCACTATCCATGTCAATAAATATTCTGTAACCAAAACACCTGTTTTAATGACTATTCAGATCCTTCACCTTCTCCTTTTTTCTTTTTTTTTTGGGGGGGGGGCTACTCAGAATGCTTTAAGCACAAAAAAGTACAAATCCTGCTTGTTTTAAAACTTAAATTTTGACAAAATTAGCTTATTCCTATCAGTCACCTTTTGCTCCTCTTGTTTGCAGTAGACATCATAGGGGACTTGTACTTTATTTTTAGAAAATGACCCCAGCTCACACCATACCACTCAACAGGCCCTCTGTTCAGGCCCAATGAACATTTCCAAGCATAGCCAGTTTGCTCTTACAACTACTTGCTATACAAACCTAGTCAATGCATCCTCTTTCATCTGCCAATTAGAGAGGCAGAGAACCAACACTTTGTCAAAGAACAGCTCAGACACTTAGATATCTGCATGCAAGTTCTTTTATGCACGAGGGAGACTGTTATTACACTGTTGTCAACACACAGAAGTAAAACCAGGATTTATAAAAGAGATGGGAAAGGAGGAAAACATAGAGTTTGGGAAAATTAAGGGTTTTTCTTGATTATGCTGATTAGCTGGAGGGCATTACAGAGGCAAAGTATGGAAGGTCGGGGGAGTGGGCTGACTGAGTCATCAAGGAAAATGATTTTAGATATTTGTGAATTTTCTGAAAAGCCTTTGGAGTTTGGCTTTGAAGCGTGTATGGCA